ATAGGATAAGATTCAATGACACTTAAGGATGAAGACTATAAGGTTGGCTTGCTCTGAATCCTCTCCAATTCTCCTATCTGGATTCAACTTTAACAGAGGAAAATCACACTGGTATTGCACCAAATAACCACCACAGAAGAGAAGTGGTGCATACAGTAACACAAAGGTAACGTATAGATGATGAATGAAGCAAATAGAGGTCCAAATCTTCAGAGAAATGAGGAAATCAAAAGTTGGAAAATAGAGCTCACTATGGATTTTTTTCCAGATTTGAACCTCTCTTTTTTCCATGAAATGAAAGCAAGATTTTATATGGAGTGATTTTTAGGGTAGGAATGAGGTGAGGGAATAATCCTGAGGCTAGGAGTTTGCTTCAAATGTTTGGAAAGCCAAATGCACATGGATGATGGTTTGGTGCTAGCTTCAGATCAAAGGTACTATAGGTAGTTTTTTGGCTCGGTTTGAGCTGGCATTGGTACAAATTGGGATAAGCAAATTTGTTGAGGTTTTCATTTTTTCCCATTTTGGTAAAACATGATCATGGAGCATACAAATGGTACATGACTTGTTGGCTCTTTCTAGGAAATGTTTTATTTCCATATTTCACAACAAGAAACAAAATGATATGGTTAATGACAAATGGATGAAGACAACTTTGAGCCATTATAACTTCATAAACTCAAATCCAAATGGTGAGAGTTTGGGCTCAACATAAAGTTGGAATGTTTGTGAGCAACTTCCATGTTGAAAACATCTTGGGATTATGCTTGGAGGAACATGAAAGAGTGAGTTGAAAACATGTCTAACATTTTGTTCCAAAGAAACTCGAGAAAAATTCTAAGTCATGAAAAAATGGTAACTTGGACCCTCATCTTTGACATGCCACAACTTGGTGAAATTTGATCTAGTGGATATATTCTCGTAATGGATGGAAAGCTTGAAGAAATATCTAAAAATTTCATTTTGTGGGAAAATTCAATTGAGATCAAGAACTTAGTGGAAAATGTCTTGAAAATCTGTCTAACAACTTGCCAAACTTAACATCTTTGGAACCCTAATTTGGAAGTATCATAACTTGAGCTATACACATCCAATGGAGATGATCTAGTACTCAAATGAAAGCTTGGAAGATGCTCTACAGCTCTCATGTTTTAGGAAAATTCAATTGAAGCTTGTATCACCGTGAAAAATGGGCTTGAAAGTAGGTACCTCAAACTGATTTCTTACACGTAGAAAAAATTATAAGTGTTGGAATGTCACAATCTCCTTTTTCTCAACTTTAGCTCATCATATCTCCTAAACTTTTGGACATTCCTCCTTCCATAAACTTGTAGTTCATTATGTCTTATTTAATTTGATAGCAAGTTTGCCTCCATTGGACCGAAAATGAGAAAATTATGGAAGTTGCAAGATGGCTAGAATTAGGGTTTTCTACACTTCGAAAATTTTCAACCAAAACCCTAATCTAGTCAAACTCCTGATTGATATTATAATCTTCATATCAAATACTTATAAAAATTCAGATTATACATTATTTGTCACAACTTATTTTTCCAGGATGGTTGGTAATAAGATTGTGAAGTTGTATTCCTTGTTGTCCTAGTTGTGGAAACAAGAAGTCCATTGTGAGAGGATTGTTCTCAATTAGACTTAGTGAAAAATCCAAGAGTTTGTTTGGTATTAATTTGTTAGTGTCTGTATAGAAAGGCTAGGAAGAGTCTTGTCTAAGTCCTAACATTATTAAAAATCTCTTTCATGTTGAAAGGGGAATGGAGTATTCTCGATCTGTGAGGGGAAACATAATATATTCTTGTGTCGTTTAATTTTCGCATTTACAGTTTTTATCACATAGTAATCACTTAGGTAAGTAAAACATAAAACCGTCATAAAACCAGATAAATATTCTAAGTACATAATTCACCCCTCTAAGTGCGATATCTACTTACAATTGGCATCAGAGCAGGTTATAGGTAACCTAATCCTACAGATCCAGTATGGCTTCCACTAGTGCAAACCCGATTTTCAAAGATGACGGTAGTAGCAACAAAATCCATCTATTCTCTGGAGAATATTTTGAATTTTGGAAAACATGTATGAGAGCACACTTAGAAGCACAAACAGATGGAATATGGGAAACTGTTGAAAATGATCCACATCAACCAATGAGTGTCTTAAATGGTATCGGAACTCTAAAGATGAAAAGTTCTTATGATGAAAATGGTAAAAAGAAAGTCCTTGATGAAAAGAAAGCCATTAACATATTACAAAGTGCATTAAGTATGGATGAATTCTTCCATATTTCTCAATGTAAATCCGCAAAAGAAATTTGGGACACTTTGGTGGAGATTCGTGAAGGAATCGCTGAAGTTAAATTATCTAGATTGAATACATTAAGTCAAGAATACGAGATGTTCTGAATGCAGTCCTAAGAATTCATCATTGCATTACAAAAGAGATTCGTTCATTTAACAAATTACTTGACTGCACTTGGTAAAATATTCTCTAATGATGAATTGAACCTTAAAGTACTAAGATCCTTGACTAGAGAATGGCAACCAAAAGTAACGGCAATATCGGAAAAGAAAAGTCTTTCTACCATGACTTCTGCATCATTATTTGGAAAACTTCAAGAACATGAATTAGAACTTGTACAACTTGAAAAACATGAATATCAAGAAAAGAAATCTAAGGGTATCGCATTAAAAGTAGATTTAAAAGAAGATCAAGATGATGATGCACCGGAGGAAACTGAAAACTTTATGCTCCTTGTAAAGAGACTTGGTAAATTTCTTGGTAAAAATAACAAGTTCTTTAATTATTCAAAAAGAAAGAAACATTTCAAGAAAAAGGAGGCTTCCACTTCAACACAATATATCACATGTTATGAATGTGGTAAGTAAGGTTATATAAAACCTGATTGTCCAAAACTTTCCAAAAAATATGGATTCAAAGGCAAAACGGAGACAAAGAATAAAAAGGCTTATATTGCATGGGAAGATAATGACATAAGTTCATCATCCGATTTGAAAAGCGACGAAAGCGCAAATCTAGCATTAATGGCTTCACACCACTCCGATGATGAAGATGATGAGGTTAGTAGTGTATTTTCTCTTTACTATAATGATGCACAAGATGCAATAAATAAACTCTTAAGTGAATGCAAAATTTTGTATAAAACAATATCTTCACAAAACAAACAAATTACATCTTTAGAAGAAAAAGTTGAAACTATGAAAAAAAGATGCGAAAAATGAGAAACAAAAGATTATTAGTGAAGAAAAACATAATTTTGTTTAAAATGAATTGTTTGAAAATATTTGATAAAAGACGTGATTTAAAATATGAAAAATTCTCTATTTATTATATATCAAAAGATACCTATATAAAATAGTGGCAATGTTTGAGAAAATGATCATGAGAATTTGCAATGATTTAGAAAAGGTATCATGATCATATGCAATGTTACAAAATTTTTCAAGATGTTTCAGATGTCAATCAATTATATATATGAGTCAATCGATTGAATCAATTGTAACGTTAAAAAATTATGAAAAAATTAACTGGATCAATCGATTGAGAGGAACAATAAATTGATTTACTTAGGCAAAAAAAATGGAACACTCAATCAATTTTATCATTGAGTCAATCAATTGATGCTTTTGGTTTTCCAATTACAAAGATCACTTCAATCGATTGAATGCTATGAGCAATCAATTGATCTAGTTAAAAACTTGAATTTTATTCTAAGTTAACAATGAAACTTGAAACAATGCATGCATCAATATCAAAGATCATTTCTAGAACACATAAGACTTATAACATTTGAATTTTATATTGTACCTTAGTCTATAATCTATTCTATGAAATAAAAACCTAATCAATTTATTGTCATAAAAACTTCTATTCTTATCTTTTCCTTCTTTCCATTGATTTGTCTTCATTAAAACATTGTATTCACAAGATCTTGTCTTCACATAAGCAAGGAACTAAGGATGATTTACATATTTTTTCATGTGACTTTATCATACAATTTAGTATAGGAAAACCTTTTGCAAAAAATTGGACATATTAATAATATGGAGGCTTAAAATGTGAAGGAGTTTCGGTTTTTCAATAATAAATGGTTTGAATATATAGGTCCTTATGTCATTCTTCATGATATTATGAGAGCGTTAGAGTAATAGAAATAACATGGTTTGGAAACACAACCTAGAACAACCAATTCAATTAGTAGTGAAGGCTACTATAAATTCGGGGTCAATATCCACTCCATTTCTTTTTCTCTCTATTTTCTCCATTATTATAGTTTTGTGTGTAAATAACACACATTTCTATGACATGTGACATATAATTAATATTTAGTTGATTTTATATACATAAAACTATAGTAATGGAGAAAATGATAGGACAAAGAAATGGAGTGGATATTAACCCATAAATTCGAATGCAGTGCACCAAATTAATAATGGACACAATAAATCATTGCAACAAAAACAAATTCATTCACAATAAAACATTACTAGGTCGAAACGAGTTTGGTTGTCATCGATTCTGCCAATGTCAAAACGAGCTTGGTTGTCACATTAAAGACTTGTTTGAACAAATTATTATAATTAAGTATTTCAATTTCAATAATAAAAATAAACCAAATAAAAAGAATGCATAAAAAAATTCAAATAAAATTATATTTGAACAATATAATATACAATTTTTTCATTTATTGATATGAATATCGTGCATGTCTTCTTATAAAGACAAATAGAAATGTACAATTCATATACATTATCAGCCATATAGTTTTAATGATAAATTTACACAAATAAGAAAACTTTACGTATATGTCACATGTCCAATATATACGAGATTTAATGCATAAGGAATCCTCTGTAATTGTTGCATGGTGCAACAATCTCTAAATCTAATCATTGTAGAGATAGTACACTATACAAAGATTATAGAGGATCTAAGTTTGAGCCTTTTATAAAAATATATTATAATGTTCAAGCAAGACATTCGAAAGGAGGTCCTTGTGGAAAACGTTTAGTATCAGTGCAATAATTATAAATCATATAATTCTTTTGTGCCCAATGAACTTTGGCTATGCCATTTGAGTCCAATGATTCACTTAACCATGATTGAGTTGACGAAGATGATGGAGATTTGTTGGAAGAACAAGAAGAACCTGAAGAAGTCCAAACACAGACTTGAGCGTTGAAGTTTCTATATGTGGCAGTGAATGGGGCTTGGGCCCAATCAGTTTTCACAAGCCCACCTCTTGTGGCCCAATTCTCAGCATCCCATAGACTGGAGTATATCCTCATAGGTTGGTTCTTTGGAAAAGCAACCCCTTTTGATTCTAAATTCTTGAATTCTCTTATTGGTGTTCCATCCACAGAGAATCTATATGAAACAAATAAGTGAATTGAGAAAATATAATTAACATTGAACATAAAAAATAAAATAGTGAATAAGAGTATGTAATACTAATATATACATGATGCTTTTAGGATTCCAAAGAATAGAATATGTGTGAAAGTCCTTGGTGGGGTCAAACCACAAATGGAATTGTTGTTCTCTATTCCCTTTCCCTTGTGCAAACACGTTTGTATGAAGAGTATAAGGATCACCACTTAAGTTACCAAGAAATTCAAAGTCTATTTCATCATGAGTAGGCCCTAGAGAAGATAGCTGCAACAATCAAAATTTTAGTACATGTTATTATGTAATAAAATACAGCATTGCTATGTTGACACCCATCTCTACACCTTACACCTCAATTACTGTTCACAAATACTTGAACAAATTTCCCAGAACATGGTTAATAGTGTGTATTTTATTGGTTAATGAAGTAGTGAAAGTGGTTAATAAATTATAGGTAAAATAATTGGCTAATAATGTAGATTTTTGTGGTTAATGCAACTGTGAAGTTGGTTAATGCGCAATCTTATATTTGTGTTATAAAATAAATTTTAAAAATAAATATTTTTTTTTAAAAAAAAATAATATTTTAAAAAAATATATTATTTTAATAAAAAAACACTGTTCACCGTATAAATACGGTGAATAGTGCATACGGTGTAAGTATTGGGTGTAAAAAAGGGTGTAGAAATAGCATTTTTCAATAAAATATTAATTTGCAACCTTATTATATGGTAATACACATGCATGGCCGATACTTACATAATAGGTTGTGACTGTGCCAGCAGAGTTACCAGGCACAAGTTTGAGCTGCATGTCAATTTTTGCAAACAAGTATTCATTTTTCGAACGAAAACCAGAGCCAGAAGCTTTGTCTAAAGAGAGGCTAAGACTCTGCCCATTTTCAAGGATTTTTGCACGACCATCCCCCCATGTTATTTCAAAGTCTTGGTAAAAGTTACCAGCGGCTACAGCCACTATAAGAGTGGCCACAACAAGGGGAAGAAACCATATAGAACCCTTGATTTTCATTTTAAAACAACTTAGAATAATATTGAAACCAATGATGTATAAAGAAAAAGAGAGAGATATGTTAAGAGGAGACTAGATGCCAAAGGATGAAGTATTTGATTGAATGAATGCAAAGTTTTGAAGGTATATATAGACTGTAGATTGATAATTATCACGTAAAAAAATAATTATTATGGCGTATATACAATGATTGGATTTGAAAGTGGTAAGAAGAGAGATCGTATTGATTGACTAAGCTATAGTTGAGTGTGGGGACCTTGACAGCTAGCAAGTTGAGGGATAATATCAAAATTTTCTAGATTCATTTGAGTTATAAATTTTTAATAAATTGTTTGGCTTTATGTGTGCTTTCTATTTTCTAACATCAAATCAAATTGGTTAATGTCTAAATCACGTGGTTATAAAAGTATTCTCAGGTAATTGCTATTCTATATAAGCATCACTTATATGCTTATAATGTGAGGGTAACAATTAAATATATCCTATTAACAACAATACTAGCCCATATTAAAAAAACTCTGCCACACTAACTTTTACTAGAACTGTCTTGTGAAGGTTCAGATAAACATTGCATGCCATGCATGCATATTATGTGCTTAGTTTTTTTTTAAGATCAAAATATTAAATTATATAAGGGAAATATTATGTTTTTTTTTTCTCACCAAAGCCATTAAAATTGATTCACTTTATGTAGACTCAATTTAGTAAGAGTGATTATTTTACTGACGTCGCCTACAAGTGAAGTCATCCAAAAATTCGTTTATCCGAAAAAATTGCTCTCCCTTTTCTCTAATTTAAGTTCTTTTAGTTTTGTCTAGGAACTATGTCGAGATATATCAAACTCAAAGGATATGACGATTGGACTAAGGTGGAACGTAGAAAAGCCACAGGGACGAAGGGAAGGTGGGATTTAGAATGGAAGACTAAGGGCGACAGTATGGGGGAGTTACGACGATTTTCTTTACGGAATATCCGGAGCACTTAAAGGCAAAAGATCTCTATGAGCTATTTGAAGGCATAAGAATATATGCTTAATATGCTTAATATGCTCTTGTGAAACTTGTGAAACAATATATATCAAGGTCATGATACAAAAGCATATTAAGCCATTATTGATTGGCTATTAGGGCTTACTCCAACAATCTCCCACTAGCACTAGAGGCAATCAGATATTAACTTAACATCTATCTGCCTATTGTGTGTGTCAAGCATTATTTTCAGCACGATACTTTATTAGAGTATAAGGAATTCTTTCCTATTTTGGTAATATACACCTTTTCCGATTCAACTTTCAATCTTCTATCAAAATAAATTGAAGTGTCAAAATATATATACATGGATCGCTACTGAGATCTAGTTTTTAAACTTGCAAGATTAACTCATTATCATCGTGAATGAGAGCAATAAGATCTGCAGTACAAGAAATACGAATTTCTTCCTAAGAATTACAAAAGCGATCCAAATCATGTATATTTGACCTTTGTACTAGAGACGACAACTGTCTAAAGCCTTTTTCAACTTATATTGTTGTCATTCAAGTATAATATTTAATTTATACTGTGATATGAATATATAGTTCATAAATTTAGGAATAACATCATTGTAATTCCTTTACAATGATTATTCTCATCTACTCTCAAGAAAAGGAAAACCAGGTCCTTTTAGATATTCATAGACCTTCTTGATAGTGATCTAGTGATTAGCACTTCAATCAGTTTGACACTTATTGTTTATACTCATAGTATATGATGCATCAAGTGCAGTACATATTATGGTGTCCTTTTTCTCATCCAATGAGGTAAGACATTGTCTATTAGAAAAAACATCATGCCACACATGCAATAATCTTAATATGATATTATGCATATTAAGTGTATCAAAACTTCATCAGAATATGTACTTATGTTAGGATTGAGATTCATCAACTATCTATCTCTATAGATTTTGATTCCTAAACTTTTAAGAAATCTCGCTTAAGCATTTCATCAAAACTATTTCATTAAATGTAGAAGCATATTTCAATCTCAAGGTTTTGATGATGTCAACAAAGACTCAAGCTCATTCCATGATTGCAAGAAAAAAGTCAAAGCTTTCAAAACTGATCAAGATCAAGATTTTTACACTATATACCCGTGGGGGTATATGTACTAAGAAGCTGCTTGCACTATATACCCGTGGGGGTATATACACTAAAGATAAAACCAGAAGCATATCAAGACTATGGAATGGTGTCAAGCAAATCAAGCATCATGTGCAAATGTTCATTCAACTTTCAAGATTTGGACTCAAGCTTCGGTATATCAATTTTCACTCCTTTAATTGATATACAGGTGTTCAAATATTTTAACATGATAACATATTGCATTTGCATGTTTTAAAAAATCATTTGGATTGGTATAACACCTTTTAACTTAGTATTTTTCTGAGTTTTAACAGTGCTAACCGATTAACCATATGGGTTAATCGGTTAACGACCTTAATTTTTGAATTCTATGGGCCAACGTTCAAGTGTTAACCGATTAACCTATGGGGTTAACCGATTAACACTGAACGAATTTTGAAAAATTGTTACTGTTAAAATTCAAATGTTGTTTGAATATTATACCTTTCCATGTTTTGAATCATACTCAATTATACCTTTTTTGAAATGGTGTTTTGCTCATATAAATTCTGAAAATTTCAAATTGAAAAACAACCTCCAATAATTTTCAAAATATTCATTGAATCAAATTCACTACTTTTCAAATATTTTCAAATATTTTCAAAAAGTGTTCATATTGTTCATACAATTTCATATCCAGATTTTTGAACACTTGTATTGATATTGAAGAGTGGATTTTGATCAAAAGGAGAAGATCAATCATTAGATTGATATTATCATTGTATCACTTCCAAATTACAAATATACAAAGTTATTTCTATTGTGACTTGTGATCCAGGATTGTTGGACACAAGGGTTAGTGTTTGCAAGAGGATTGTTTCTGCACACTAGTTGTTGATTAGTTGTTAGATTGTAGGCATCACCGGTTGATGGTGTGATAGGTTGTACTTTCTAAAACTATAGTGAAAACTCTCTTTCATGTGGAAAGGGGAGTGAAGTACCTTCGGATTGTGAAGGGAACCACTATAAATCTCCGTGTTCATTTTCCTTTCTGCTTTTACTGCTTTCATCACCAAGAACTTAAAGAAGAACAATTCAAGAATATCGAAAAACCAGAAAACGTTTTTTTAAGCCTAATTCACCCCTCCCCCCCTCTTAGGCATACTCTGAACTTACAATTGGTATCAGAGCAGGTTAAGGTAACCTGTTCCTAACGATTCAGTATGGCTTCCGCTAGCACCAACTCAGTTTTCAAAGACGGTGGAAGTAGTAATAAACCACCACTGTTTTCTGGAGAATATTTCGATTTCTGGAAAATCAGAATGAAGGCGCATCTTAAAGCCCAAGGAGAAGGTATATGAGGAGCAATCGAAGAAGGACCACACAATCCAGTAAATATGGTCAATGGCGTTTGAACCGCAAAGTTGAAAAGCACGTATGATGAAGACGAGAAGAAAAAGATTCTTAATGAAACGAAAGCAATCAACATACTCCAAAGCGCTCTCATTATGGACGAATTCTTCCGTGTATCACAGTGTAGATCGACAAAAGAGATTTGGGATACCTTGGTAGAAACGCGCGAAGGAACCGCTGAAGTAAAAAGATCAAGACTCAATACTTTAAGTCAAGAATATGAGATGTTTCGTATGCAGCCCAGTGAATCTATTGTTGCCTTACAAAAGAGATTCGTTCATCTAACAAATCATTTGATTGCTCTCGGAAAGACCTTCACCAATGATGATCTCAACCTGAAAGTCCTAAGATCCTTGACAAGAGAATGGCAACCAAAGGTGACCGCTATTTCGGAAAAGAAAAGTCTCTCAACGATGACATCCGCATCCTTATTTGGCAAACTTCAAGAGCATGAATTGGAACTTGGAAGACTCGAGAAGCACAAAAGTCAAGAAAAGAAGTCCAAAGGAATTGCCTTGAAGATTGACACAAAGGATGATAAAGACGACGAGACTTCCGAAGATGAAAATTTCATGCTTCTCGTAAAGAAGCTTGGTAAGTTTTTTAATAATAATAATAAAAAGTCCTCTTTTCCTAAAAATAATAGACATTTCAGGAAAAAGGATGCATCCGCATCGAATCAAGAAGTCACATGTTACGAATGTGGGAAGCAAGGTCATATAAAGCCGGATTGCCCGAAACTTGCAAAGAAAGGAGGATTCAAAGGCAAGAAGGATTTCAAAAATAAAAAGGCTTATGTTTCTTGGGACGATAACGAGATATGTTCATCATCGGAGTCGGAAAGCGATGAATGTGCAAATATGGCTCTTATGGCGTCACATCATTCCGATGAAGAAATTGATGAGGTTAGTAACGATTTTTCTATTTATGATAATGATGCATAAGAAGTCATAGATGAACTTCTAAAAGAATGCAAGACTTTATATAAAAGCATCTCATCCCAAAAGAAAAGAATTTCATTTTTAGAAGAACAAAATATTGTTTTCATAAAAAATATTGAAAATGAAAAACAAAAATTGTTGGATGAAAAACAAAGTCTTGTATGCAAAAATTGTGAATCCTTATCTTTTCAAATTGTTCAACTTAAAAGAGTTTTAGAAAGATACGAAAAAGGTCAAATTGGCTTGGAGGAAATTCTTAGGCACCAAAGATATTCTAATGATAAAAGTGGATTAGGATATTCTAAGTTTTCTAAACCAAGCACAAATGAAACCATTTTTGTGAAAGCAAGTGAACAAGTTGTTAAAGAAAAGGCAAACAATTCTAAAATTATGCATCAAAGTCATAAAAAGAAAAGAATTGTGAAGAAAAAGAATTATGTTCCTAGATATAGAAGTCATTTTCAACCTACTTGTTTTTATTGTGGAATCAAAGGCCATACACCTAATGCTTGCTATGTGCGCAACATTGGTGTTGCTAAAGGGCA